TGGCCTTTGTTTACCATCTGTATTTGATACAATGTTGCGGTCCGGCTGGCTGAAGCTCCGCTGAGTAAAGCAGGTTTCTGGGGATTTTTTAGCTTCTTTATTCACAACATAGTTGCGTAGAGTTGCAGCTGAGAGGCCGGCAAGTCAGGTGGGGAACGTTGGAGTTCTCCGTCACTGAAGCAAGCAAGCCTCCCTGTTCGCATCAGCTGCTTGGCTGCTGGCCGCCATCTTGGCTGCCAGTTAATTTGCATATCTCGGCCCTACTCTGTGAGTGACAGGGGATTAGCCAATGGGAAGGGTAGCGGTCGTACGCCAATTACCATGTTTCTCTTTTATTAGTGTAGATAGATGAGCAAAACAGTACCCATACATTTAGTGTATATTTAATGTAAGAAGCAACAAACACAGATTTATAATTGTTCAGCTAGAAAGCATGTTGTAAATTGAGAAAAAAGAAAAGTTATTGTATGCTAATGATTGAAGTCATCAAAATGACTGCTTAGGACCGTGGTCGGCAAACTGGGGCTCGCGAGCCACATGTGGCTCTTTGGCCCCTTGAGTGTGGCTCTTCCTGAGCCTTAGGAGTACCCTAATTAAGTTAATAACAATGCACCTACCTATATAGTTTAAGTTTAAAAAATTTGGCTCTCAAAAGAAATTTCAATCATTGTATTGTTGATATTTGGCTCTGTTGACTAATGAGTTTGCCTACCACTGGCTTAGGAGAACAGTTTTAATTTCACAGGAAATTTGTCAAATGGTCTTTGTCTATTAATAAGCAGGGAGAAATGAGCAAAAGAAATGAGATTTTAATTTTTGTAAATGAAAGTTATATCTACAAAGTGTGAAAACTTTAGAGATATCAATTTTATGTAATATTTTGTGTTAAAATACCATTGTTTTTAAGAGATCAACCAGTGAACTTGTTTGCATAACCCAGTCGTCGGCAAACTGCGGCCAGGTGAGTGTGGCTCTTCCACAAAATACCATGTGTGGGCACGCACGTACAGTGCAATTGAAATTTCGTGGCCACACTCAAGGGGCCAAAGAGCTGCATGTGACCCGCGAGCTGCAGTTTGCCGACCACTGGCATAACCCATGGACATAGGGCCTGTGGGGAGGGCTGAAAGAGGTTAATGGGGGAAAACAGAGGACCTATGTAATAACTTTCAACAATAAAGATTGTATAGATATAGATATATACAATGGTTTAAAAAGAGAACTAATATTTTATTTCAAAAAGGCACCTAATTACGTGCCTAAGCTATTGTAGCTTTTAAAAGTGTGACACTTCTTGACCTATTTCCCCATTGTGTACCAAAAAGATGTCACATCATTCTTCTGTAAAAATACACGACAAAGTAGTTAAAGAGCTGATTGGGTAATCACTACTTACATGACAAAATGTGGGTACAGCTCATTCCTATGTTTTGTCATGGTCACTTATAAATTTACTTATAATAATATTGATCAATTCTATTTTTGTGTGGAAAATTATACAAGGTCAACCCATTCTTTCAAGGCATAATATCCTTCTGGACTGCTCTAGTCACTGCCCAACATCTCCAACACGACAGCTTTACTTAACAGTAATCTTATTTTTAATTCAAATGTAAAAATTATAATACTTGGTGTGATACATTCTAGTTGCATTTTTCTTTTTCTCTCAGAGTTGCATTTGGGAACTGCAATGGGTTGGCTGTGGTGGATTTTATACAGAAGACAGTACTGTTAAGCATGGGGACCATTGACCTATATAGATCAAGTGACTTATACCAACGACAACCACGGTCTCCTCGAAAAAACAAGCAGTTCATTGCAGGTAGGAGATAGAAAACAAGATGTTTACAAACTTGACTAAGTTTTTCTTGCCGTTAGATTTCTTATCTTTCTTCTGTGGTGCTGTTAAAATGCATGGCAACATAAAGTGAACATAATTTACGATACCATGTAAGTAAAATTAGACAGAAACATAGAATCTTTGAAAGGGTAAATGAGATATTTAAAGTTAGGAAGCATCTCAAGTTTCTTAGGTTGAAGTCCTAGAAAATAAGCTGTTAAATATGAAAATGATATGAAAATCAGGCTCTCTAGTTGAAAAAACTGGTTTCAATTGTTGTGTTAAAGAGGATAATTTTCTCCTAGTATATCTGGCCCCTTAAAAAATATAATTGTTAGTTAAAAATAGTTATTTACTTCTTTTTAAAAATTAACTCCATATTTTAGCTGTTATTTTTCTTATTGAGTGATGACTTTCTAGGAGGTATTTTAACAAATGAAATAAACATTATTAATTAACATTTAAAATTCTACAAAAGATGACAGTTTTTTAACAGGATCAAAAAGTATAAAAGAAAAATGCACATGGTTAATTAGGATTTAAGCAAAATACTTTCTATATAATGCCAGATCATCCAAAGTTTTACTGAAGTTTCAGTATATGTCCAAATAATTGGCTTTGTAAACATGGTCAAACTTTTGTATATTTTCTGTCCACTGACATCATTCGGTTAAAAAATTAATTGGGCTAAAAGGCACACAGATGGAAATGTTTATCCTATCCTTATCTAATAAAAGAGAAACATGGTAATTGGCGTATGACTGCTACCCTTCCCATTGGCTAATCAGGGGTGATATGCAAATTAACTGTCAGCCAATATGGCAACCGGCAGCCAGGAAGCTTAAACTGAACATGAGGCTTGCTTGCTTCAGTTACGGAGGACTCCAACGTTCTCTACCTGCTGCTTGCAGGCCTCTGAGCCTGCAGTTTAAGAAACTATGTAACAAATATAGAAGCTAAACAAAACCCCAGAAACCGGCCT